TTTTTTAGCAATAAAGTATTTTTAAATTAAGGTATATACATTGGTTTTTTAGAAATAATGCTATTGCATACTTAATAGACTACAGTATAGTGTAAATATAACTTTTATATGCACTGGGAAACCAAAAAATTCATGTGACTTGCTTTATTGCAATATTCGCTTTACTGTGTCAGTCTGAAACTGAATGGAAAATATCTCTGAGGTATGCCTGTACAATAAAGGAAAAGTGCACACTAATACCTCTCATGAACACAAACGCAAAAATTCTAAACAAAATTTTAGTATATCAAATCTAACAATATATAAAAAAATGATACATCATGACAAAGTGGGGTTTATCTCAGGAATACAAGGTTGGTTTAATATATGAAAATCAATGTAATTTACCCAAGTTAATAAACTAGAAAAGAAAAATCATACAATTATTGCAATAGATGCAGAAGAAGTATCTGACAAAATCTAACATCTATTCCTGATTTAAAAAAAAAAAAACCTCAGCAAACTAAGAATGGAAGGACATTTCCTCAACTTGATAAATGACTTCTACAAAAAACCTAATATCATTTAATGGTGAAAGACAAAGTTCTTTCTCTCTAAGATCGGGAAAAAGGCAAGGATGTCTGCTCTCATTACTTCTATTTGACACTGCATGGAAGGTTCTAGCCAGTGTAATAGGGCAAGAAGAAGAAATCAAAGGTTTTCAGAATGGAAAGGAAGAAGTAAAACTATCTTTATTTACAGATAACATGATTATTTATGTAGAAAACCTGAAGAAATCTACAAAAAGGCTACTAGATTTATCAAGTTTGCGGAGTATAAGATCAATATACAAAAAATTAATTTATCTCTACTACCCAGCAATGAATAATCAGAAAATGAAATTTTAAAAATAGTATTTATAATAGCACCAAAAGTACAAAATACATAGTAATAAATCTGACAAAAGACGTAAAAGGCTTGCACACTAAAAACTACAAAATATTGCTGGGAGAAATTAAGGAATATCTAAGTAAGTAGAGAGATAATGCGTTCACGGATCAGACGATTCAATATTAAGATGTCAATTCTCCCCAAATTAATTTATAGATCAAAATCCTAGCAGGCTTTTCTGCTAGAAATTGACAAGCTAATTCTAAAATTCATATGGAAATGCAAAGCTCCTAGAATAACTAAAATAACTTTGAAAAAAGAAGAACAAAGTTAGAGGACTTACACTACCTGATTTCAAGACTTATTATGAAGCTACACTTTTAAGATATTGTGATATCGGTGTAAAGATAGATAAATAGATCAAAGGAACAGAATAGAAAGTCTAGAAGTAGAGAGATATGAACAACTGATTTTCAAGTTCAAAGGCAGTTGAGTGGAGAAAGGATAGTCTTCAATGAATGGTGCTGGAACACACAAAAAAGTGAACTTCCATCCAAACCATACACAGAAATGAATTCAAACTGGTTCAAAGATCCAAATGTAAAGCCTAAAATCATAAAAAATCTAGAAGAAAACACAGGAGAAAAATCCTTATGACCCTGACTTAGGCAAGATTTCTTAAATATAACACCAAAAGTATAATCCATAAAAGGAAAAAAAAAGGATAATTTGGATATCATCAGAATTAAGAATTTTTGCTCTGCAAAAGACACTCGAGAGAATGAAAAGACACGCCACAGAATGGGAGAAAACTTATCAAATTACATATTGGATAAAGGATTTGTTTTCAGAATACTCTCAAAACTCAATAAAAATATAGGCAAAAGGTTCAAAGATATACGGATGGCAAATAAGCATATGAAAAGATGTTTGACATCATTCATCATTAGGGAAATGCAAATTAAATCTACACGGAGATACCATTACACACATATCAAACTATCTAAAATTTAAAAGACTGACCATAGCGAGTGTTGGCAAAAATGTGAAGAAAAGGGAACTCTCAGACATTGATGTAAAATGGTACAAGCTGATTTTACAATGATATAAAATGGTACTTTGGAAAATAGTTTTTTAAAAACTTAAGGATACACCTACCATATGATCCAGCCATTCCACTTCCAGGTATTCACCCAAGAGAGATGAAAGCATATATCCACGCAAAGACTTGTACACAAATATTTATAGCAGTTTTATTTGCAGTAGTCAAAAATTGGAACAGCTCAAATGTCCATCAATGGTGAATAGATAAATTGTGGTATATTCCTATAATGGAATACTATTCAGCAATACAAAGAAATGAATTATTACTACACATAACAAGATGAATCTTAAAATAACCATGCTGAGGGAAAGAAGCCAGTTAGAAAAGAGTACCTACTGTATGATCCCATTTATACAAAATTCTAGAAAATGCAAACTAATCTACAGTAACAGAAAGCAGATCAATAGTTGCTTGAGGATTGGGGAGGGCAAGGAGGGACAGGAAGGAAGAAACATAGTCATGCGTCTCTTAATAACGGGTACATTCTGAGAAATGCGTCGTTGGTGATTTTGTTGTTGTGCAAACATCATAGAGTGTACTTACACAAACCTAGATGGTATAGCCTAACTACACACCTAGGCTATATGGTACTAATCTTATGGGACCACCATCATATGCGTGGTCCGTCGTTGACCGAAATGTCATTATACGGCACATAATTGTACAGAGATATGAAGAAACTTTTTGAGGTAACAGACATTTTGAGTTTAGTGATGGCTTCATGTGTATACGTATATCAACACAGATTACTGTATGTCAATTATACCTCAAAAAGCTATGAAAAATAAATTATATAATTGAGACAATGGGTAAATTTGAATACAACTCTTTATTAGATAATATTATTGTGTAGGAATTTAATTTCTTCAGTGTTAATAGTATTGTAATTATACAGAGAAATGATTTTGGATATCAGAGAGGAAGCATCTAGCTGACAAGGGAGGAATCGACTGTGGTAGATGCTACAGGAGATTGAGGAAGATGAGGCTAGAGCAGTGACCAATAGATTTGACAATGTGGTGAAGATAGTCATTTGTCAGCTGACCTGACAAAAATGGTGGGAGCAGAATGCTAAATGCAAGGCCCTTTCCCAAACTAATCTCATGTAATCCCCTCAAGTAGCCTTAGCATATTTCTACTTAGCGTTAGCAAGTTTCTACTAGCTTGCCATATTGGAGGGGGGATGCCAAATTTAGGGTACGGTAAGTTATGTAATAAACTGTCACAAAAGGGCCCTACAGAAATATTTTTTAAAACTGCAAAGAAATGAAACTTGACCTTTACCTCACACCATATATAAAAATTAACTGAAAATGGATCATAGACCTAAATGTAACTGTACAACTTCTGGAAGAAAACATAGGAGAAAAATCTTTGTGATTTTGGATAAGGCAATGGGTTCTCAAAGATTTCTTAGATGAGACAAAAAAAGCACAAACCACATAAGAAAAAATTGCTAAACTAGAGTTCATCAAAATTTAAATATTAAAAACCTCTGGTCTTCAGAGATTTATCTTCTATCTATTTATTTATTTGGTGAGGAAGATTAGCCCTGAGATAACATCTATTGCCAATCCTCCTCTTTTTGCTGAGGGAGATTGGCCCTAGGCTAATATCCGTACCCATCTTCCTCTACTTTATATGTGGGACACCTGCCACAGCATGGCTTGATAAATGGCGTGTAGGTCCGTGCCTGGGATCCAAACCTGCAAACCCCAGGCCACCCAAGCAGAGCATTTACACCACTACGCCACCAGGCTGGTTCCTTCAGAGATACTTTTAATAGAATGAAGACAAGTCACAACCTGGGAGAAGACATTTACTGAACACATATCTGAGACAAAGGATGTTTTCCAGAATATATAAAGTGCTCTTACAACTCAATAAGATAAATATCCAATTAAAAAATAGATTTGAACAGACACCTCATTAAAAAAGACATTTGCACATGAATAGACACTCAACATCATCAGCTATTAAGAGAAGTGCAAATTAAAACCAAATGAGATGCAACTATACACATACTAGAGAAGCTAAAATTCTTTTAACAACAAATATAAGGGTCAGGTGAAGACATGGAGCAATGGCAACTCTCATACACTGTTCGTGGGAATGCAAAATGGTATAGCCACTTTAGAAAACAGTTTAGCAGTTTCTTAACAAGTGAAATATGCACTTAGCATATGATGCAGCAATCCCACCCTTAGGTATTTTACCCCAAAGAAATGAAAACATATGTTCATACCAAGATCTGCATGTGAGTGTTTTTAGCGGCTTTATTCACAATAGCCAAAACACTAGAAATAACTCAAATGTCCATTAACTGATGAAAGCATAAACAAACTGGTATATCCATACAACTGGAATACTACTCAGCAATAAAACAGATGAACTACTGATGGGTGCAACAACATGGATGAATCTTAAAAAGAGTATGCTAAGTGAAAGAAGCCAAACACAAAAGCCTAGATTCTACGTGATTTCATTTGTAAGACATTCTGGAAAAGACAAAACTATAGGGACCAAAAATCAGGTGGTTGCCAGGGGAGGGTGGTGGGAGAGAGGACTGACTGCAAAGGGACATGAGGGGCCTTTTTGGGGTGATAGAAGTGTTCTATATCTCAAATGTGGTGGTGGTTACATAACCATACACTTGTCAAAACTCATCGAACTGTACACTTAAAAAGAGTGAATTTTATTAAATGAAAATTATACGTCAATAAACTTGATTTAAGAAAATAATAAAACAGGCCGGCTCCGTGGCTTAGCGGTTAAGTGCGCGCGCTCTGATGCTGGCGGCCCGGGTTCGGATCCCGGGCGCGCCCCAAGGCACCACTTCTCCGTCCAGCGCGAGGCCGAGTCCCACGTACAGCAACTAGAAGGATGTGAACCTATGACATACAACTATCTGCTGGGGCTTTGGGGGGAAAAAATGAATAAATAAAATTAAAAAAAAAAAAAAAGAAAAGAAAACAAATCTAAAAAAACAACTAAATGAAAATAAATGTAAGAAAAATCAACTTACAGTTTTTCTAGTTCAAGGGTCATCATGAGGATGCTCTCAATGGTTGTAAGTGTCACTTGTGTGGTTCCCATGTCTCTGAAGGAGAAGCCCAAACACGCATGATATGAACCCAAAGACAAAAATTCCATACTTAAAAAGATACTTAACAACACGTGATTCCTTCAATTCTGCCTTCTCTGTCAAGCTAGCTCAAGAGTTTACGTGCCACAGACAATAATTCCAGAAAGCTCTTATTGAAGAAATTTAAATTTATTTGCATCATCAAATTAATGACCTTGGTGCTGAACAGTACAATCTTTTTTTTACCATTATCCTACCTCTCATTTTCAATTGCAGCCACCTTTCTTGATTACTCTTTAAAAAAAATAATGTACACCTTATCCCTCATTGCTCTCTGGGATAAACGATGTTTCTACACACATCTATATGTTCTATATCTGTATGTGTTCTTCAACACTGCTCTCTTGCTCTGCTGGTTGTCTTGCCTATATATATTCTTTCTTAATCCTTTTCTTTGCCAATAACTCTTATTTCAATAACCCAGTGAAAATTTAAATTAGGACTGTTTACCAAAATGCAAACTACTTAATCTTTGATGAAAGCAAAAAAGAGCAGAAATCATCTCATTAGCCATGAGATTGTTGCAATACTTACAAATATTTTAATGCTGGCAACTTAAAAAGATAAGAATCTTCAATAGCTGTCAGAGGATTACGACTGAGAATTCTGAAAAATGCAATGGAATTAAAATTATCCGCATTTTTAATAACTGCCATGAAAGTTTATGTTCATTTTTTTGGTATGGAACTTGAAGGTAAAAAAAAAATCATTTTCTGTCTTTACCTACAAATCACCCTTAGAATCCATAAAGCACTCTTCTTTTGGGAACTACCCAGGTCTCTAGACGATAAAGTGAAGGACAGAAAGAGAAAAAAAATAGAAAAAAAGTGGATAGCAAAGAAAAAATATGCCAAATAACTTTTCAGGCTGAAAACCCTAGAAGTGATTATGCTGGTAGGAAGCCCTTGCTCTGCAGGAAACACTATTTCTAGTGTCCTTCATAATTCAAGGTGCTTTTCTTTCATCTCTAGAAATTTTAAAAATTCCATAATTTAAACTACCCAGTTAAAGACAAAAATTGGACCAATTCCTTGGTTTTGGAGCCAAAGAAGAGGGATAAAGCTAAGAGGAACCAGTGAAAGCCATTCTCCCTCCAGTCACATATTCCCATGTGTGTTCTTGTATCATAGCCTTTGTTACATTGTATGTAATCACCTGTCTACTGAGGGCAGGGACCACACTTTACTGTCACTGTCATCCCTGTGCCTGATATTTACTAGGTATTTAATAAATGTTTGTTGAATAAACATTTTGTTTACATATCAATAAAATGAACCAATTCATTTTTTGACATAAATTTTTATTCTAAAATGCTGGAATAGATTTTCTTCTTAATTCTTTAAAACAAACAAGCAAACAAACAAACGAACAAAAGAAACAGGAAGAAAGAAAAGAAAATCTGCCTTTAGGTTAACTCTACTCAAGAATCATTAGTGTACTTTTACAGAATATCATAAAGAAAATTATCACAACTAATATCTATTGGGCTGCCAGGCATCTGTGATCAGCATTTCACATTTAAGCCTCACAATAACCTTATGTGATAGATAATATTATTACTCTGTTTTACAAATGAGGAAACTGAGGCACAGAGACGTTATATAACTTGTCCTAGGTCATAAAGCTAGTAAGAAGCAGAGGTGTAATTTGAACTTAGTTCTGACTCCAAAGCCTGCATTTAACCTGTATGAAGAAAAGGGGTTTAAAATAGCTGTTACTTTAATCTTAATTTTGAGAGCACTAAATACAGAAATACCTTTTCAAACTTCATATACCTATTTGGGAGAGCCTCTATGAGAATTAAATTTTCTTTTTATTCCTTTTCCTAATCATCTCCCATGATTAAGTATTTAATGAGCCCATGGTCATTGAGACTTCAGAGATTTAAAACTGTCGTAGGCAACTCAGTGAAAATGGGGGAGTAAGGACATCTGAAAATTCCTCCCTCCATAAAAGCAACAAAAAAACTGGCAAAAATTGTCAGAATCAACTTTTTCAGAACTCTGGAAATTTAACCAATGGGCTTGCAGCAACCCAGGGAGCATTTATTTAAGAAAAACGAAATTAATTTCTGTAATAATAGTGAGATTTGTGTTGCTTTAACTTGTCCTAGACCTGTGCTCTCCATCCCAGTGGTAGCCCTGAAAAAGTCCACATCCCTGGGACCAGAGGGAGCAGAACGGAGCTGGAGGGCCTTCAAAGCCTCTTTTCCAAAAAGCTATCATTATCTTACCTGTCTGGTGGTTCCCTGGAAGGCCTCACTTGAAAGGCTTGTCTTTGACCTGACTGAGAGCTGCCCAGTGCTAGCCTCTCCTCAGGGGGTATGTTTTTAAAACAATTACAGGTAAATGTTTTAACATGGCAGCTGGATGAGGTAATGGGGCAAAAAACAGCCTAACCAAAAGCTTAAAAGGAAAAGCTGAGGAATGAGATGTCCATAGAGACTTTGAAGTGCTCCACCATATTCCTGGGAAACTGGAAGACCACGAGACATATTCCTGGGAATCTAGAAAAAAAAACTATTAGCACTAAAAATGAGTTCAGGAAGGTTGCAGGATACAAGATCAATATGCAAAAGTTAGCTGTATTTCTATACACTAGCAACGAGTAATCCAAAAATTAAATTAAGAAAACAATTCCCTGTATAACAGCAACAAAAAGAGAAAAATACTTAGAAAAAAATTTAACCAAAGAAGTGCAAGACTCATACACTGAAAGCTACAAACTATTGCTGAAAGAAATTAAAGATCTAAATGAATGGAAAGCTGTGCCATATTCATGGATAAGACAATATTGTTAACATTGCACTACTCCCCAAATTGATCTATGGTTTCAGCTCAACCCCTATCAAAATCCCCATTGACTTCCTTCCAGAAATTGGCAAGCTAATTCTAAAATTCATATGGCAATTCAAGGGACTCAGAATAGCCAAAATACTCTTAATAAAGAAGAACAAAGTGGGAGGACTCACCCGTCCTAGTTTCAAAACCCAATTCAAAGCTACAGCAGTCACAGTGTGGTACTGACACATATAAACATAGACATAAATCAATGGAACAGAATTGACAGCCCAGAAATAAACCCTCACATTTATGGTCTATTGATTTTCAACAAGGGAGCCAAAACGATTCAATGTGGAAACAACAGCCTTTTCAAATGGTGCTAGGACAATTGTATATCCACAAACAAAATAATGAAGCTGGACTCCAACACTGCATTCCATATAGAAAGATTAACTTGAAATGGATCAAATACCTAAATGTAAGAGCTAAAGCTACAGAACTCTTAGAAGAAAACACAAGAGTAAATCTTTATGACCTTGGATTAGGCAACAGTTTCTTAGATATAACACCAAAAGCACAAACAATCAAAGGAAAAATAGATAAATTGGACTTTATAAAAATTAAAAACTTTTGTGCTTTGAAGCACACTATTAAGAAAGTGAAAGACAATTCATAGAATGGGAGAAAACATTTGCAAATCATATATCTGATAAAGGTCTAGGTATCCAGAATATCCAGAATATATAAAGAACTCTTACAACTCAATAAAAAGATAAATAATCAAATTTTAAAACGGGCAAAGGATTTGAAGAGACATTTCTCCAAAGATATATAAATGGCCAAGAAGGACATGAAAAGAAGCTCAATGTCTTAAGTCAGAAATACAAATCAAAGCCACAATGAGATACTACTTTACACTCACTAAGATCGCTATAATCACAGAGACAGACAATAACAAGTGCTGACAAAGATATGAATAAATTGAAACCTTCATACATTGCTGGTGGGAATGCAAAATGGCACAGCCACTGCAGAAAACAGTTTGCCAGTTCCTCAAAAAAGGTAAACATAGAGTTACCATATGACACAGCAATTCCACTCCTAGGTATGAAGCCAAGAAAATTAAAAACATATGTCTACACAAAAACTTGTATGTGAATGTTTATAGCAGCATTATTCATAACAGTCAAAAAGTGGAGGGGCCGGCCCAGTGGTGCAAGCGGTTAAGTTCGTGCGCTCCACTGCGGCAGCCCGGGGTTCATCAGTTCAGATCCCAGGCACGCACCGACGCACCACTTGTCAAGCCATGCTGTGGCGGCATCCCATATAAAGTGGAGGAAGATGGGCATAGATGTTAGCCCAGGGCCAGTCCTCCTCAGCAAAAAGAGGAGGATTGGCAGATGTTAGCTCAGGGCTGATCTTCCTCACACACACACACAAAAAAGTGGAAACAACCCAAATGTCCATTAACTGATGAATGGATGAACAAAGTGTGGTATATCTATGTAATGGAATATTACTCAGCCTTAAAAAGGAATAAAGTGCCGACACATGCTACAACATGAATGAACCTTGAAAATAACATGCTACATGAAAGAAGCCAGGCACACAAAAGGCCACATATTGTATGTTTTGTTTATATGAAATGTCCAGAATAGGCAAATCTGTATGGACAGAAAGAAAGTAGTAGTTCCCAGGGCCTGAGAGGAGGGGGAAATGGGTAGTGACAGTAATAGGCACAGTACTTCTTCTCGGGAATTATGTCCTGGAATTAGATAGTGCTGATTACTGTACAACCTTGTATATATACTAAAAAACCATTGAATCCTATACCTTATAATGTTGCATTTTATGTTATGTGGATTATATCTCAATTTAAAAAAAAAGAACCATGTTGTAACATATAGAGCACCAGTTGCCAGAAGACCAAACATGTTGGTAGATGGAAAAAAGAGGAGTAAAGACTCAGATTCTTCCGTGACCAAGGTCAGAGCGGGTAGTGGCGAGGCTGGGAGCCATGCGGTTTGTTCTTGCCTTGGCAACTCTCCTATTCTTCCTATTCTAGCCCATTCTTCTGGATTTTTTTAGTACCATTAACTTGTCTTATTTGTACCACTAGTTAATATTTAGTAAGATGCTGTTATAAAGAGAAAGAATGTGTGTCACATGTCTGGTTAAGCACAGTTCCTCAAACTTTGAGGTTTTGAATATTCTTTGCTTTGAAAAAGAATTTTTTGGCATTAAAAGAAAACTGTAAGATAACCAGTGGGCTCTGCAAGCGAGCTCCTCCACCTCGGCATCTTCCCCTGCCCACCTTTCCCCCAGTCATTAAGAATGACTATAAAGCAATATGCAGCCAAAACAATTTAGCAAAGTTTATTATCCTTCCTCCAAAATTATCTCTGCTTAGTGTTTCCTCTTAACGAGGCAACCCTTCTCCAACTGAGATTAATATCCTTGCCTTTATCCCTAGTGAAATCAAAATACGGGGCCACTCTAAACGATCCTATCTCCTCCTCCTGCCTGCAGGGCAGTCTTTTCTTCACCAAGGTTGTGCCTGAGCAAGGGAGAGAATGAGTGAGAACCGACTCAACAGCTCAAATTTGAGGGACTCTACAGCCACTGTTTTTCCACAAACCACAATACGAATGGTTTTAGATTCACAGTGGACACTGCACTAGAGATTGTTTCAATTTTGGTTCAATTCCTTCATTTTACAGAGAAAAGATGTGCTGACTCCTAGTACATTGCCTTTGTGATATTCATGGGCTTATCTTTACGGAGTAAAACATGGCAACAGTTTTTTTTTGTTTTTTTTTGTGAGGAAGATCAGCCCTGAGCTAACATTCGATGCCAATCCTCTGTTTTGCTGAGGAAGATTGGCCCTGGGCTGACATCCATGCCCAACTTCCTCTACTTTATATGGGACACCGCCACAGCATGGCTTGACAAGCAGTGCTTCAGTGGGCGCCTGGGATCCGAACCCACGATCCCTGGGCTGCCGAAGCGCAGCGCGCGCACTTAACTGCTGCGCCTCTGGGCCAGCCCCATGGCAGCAGTTTTTATTAGCCTCAAAGACTGTCTCAAAGTCAAAGTTTAAGAAATATTGTTTAAAATGATTTTTTAAAAAGTCTTATTTGAAGAGGAAAACTCGAATATTTTTGCATAAGCCTTTTGCTGTAGAACAATGGGACAGATTAAAGGTAGTTCACAAAATAACGGAACATTTCTTACCTGTTATTTTTTTTCCTCCAAATTCTTCTATACAGGTCCAGATAGATGGGCTACATTTCCTTTCTACTAGTGGAGGCGATAGGGAAGAACTGAGGACTGAAGCACGTCATCATTGTCCTGACCGTAATCCTGTACTGTAATCCTAACAGCTTTAGCCGAAAAAATGTCCAAAGCGGGCAGTGAAAATAAATTTAAAATAAGACAAATTCCCAAACTGTCTATGCTAGAATCCCAAGGCAGGCAGGGAAAACTGGTTTCTTGGAGGAAAGTAGTCAAAGAAATAAGCAGAGTAACCTAAATCCTGTTCCACTATGTTCGAAGCACTTGGGGATGGAGCAACTCCTTTCCTTTACTCATACACATAGATCCATGAGCTGTGAGAACATGACTCCCCACATGAAGCCCCTCAGGACGCGACCTCTAACTGCTTCACGTAAACTCTTCTCAGGGGGCAAAGCCTAAAGAATCTGAAATGATGAACCTATATTTTAATCAAAGTTCTGAGAATAGCCTTGAAAAGGCCCTGGCAGCCAGGAACAGTGGAAGAAGCAAGGGCCCTGGAATCAGGTAGACCTAAGTTTAAATTCCGGCTGGCTGCCACTTGCTAGAGAAGTGACTTGAGTAATGGACATCTCTGAGTCTTGCTTAGTCCCATTTACTTCATGAGGCAGTTTGAGGATTGAATAAAAGAGCACGCGCAAAGCACCTGGCATAAGGCTGGGCGCAGAGCAGGTGCTCAGTAGTAATGATGTCACACCTGCCCAGGACAGTGAGCAGAAACCCTAGGGAGGCCTAGAAGCACCAAAAGAGGGAATTCTCACCGGGAAAAGGCGCTCTGCGCTCTAAGGTCCTATTTGAGTTAGAAACCAACTTCCAGATACAATGCACAAAAGGCCAAGTTGTCATCATTCAGCTCCTATTACAAGGGAATGCAGAGCTGCTTAGAAAATTACTTGCAAAGCTCGTAAGCAGTTCTGCCATTAACAATGTGAACCTAGGCAAGTTATCCAATGTCTCCGAGTTTCCATTTCCTCATCCCCAAAATGAGGATAATAATATCTACACCACAAGAGTTGTTGGGAAAATGAAAATGAGATATAGTGTGAGGTAACGTGTACTGAGCATTTACTGTGGGCCAAGCACTATTCTAAGAGCTTTAGGTATGCTATCTTACTTGTATAATAAGTAAAAGCACCTAGTATAGTGCCTGGGACACACTGATAAATGTAGTATTAAGGAAATGTAGGTATTAAGGAAATGTTATGGGGCAGAGGAAGAATTACTATGCTTCCCAGAAAAAGAAGACACCTTGTTATACAGGTGGGAAGAATAAGATGCAGCTGGGAGAAGAGGACAGTAGTTGCCAGGTGTGTGTGATAATCTCAAAACTTCTGAACTATTACAAATAAATCAGTTACCCGAAATTACCCCAAAGGACAGGCCTGACTTGTTGTTTACATCTTTAATATTTATGCCTTTCTGAATCTGAGAAAAAGCTGCCAGGATTCCAGTACGTACCAAAAAGTGATGACAATACCTCGAAGTGTGTAAACTTCTGTGTGTACACAGCCCTCTAGAGGAAACCGATGCTAGTTGACTGTGAGAGCATTAGGGCATCTCTGTGATGGCAGCTCAATCTGCCTTCAAAGTGTGGCCACACCTATCTCCTGATATTCTCAACAGGAGGGTCAACACTTGAACAGGAATAAGGTTTGGATTTTCCTCTCATTCTCTCTTAGTGCTTATGTTCTTGGCACTGTATTGATGGATCACAGACAAACCAGCATGTGAATGTGCTCCATCTGGATAAGGTACAGCCTTTCTACACTGTAGTGTCCTTCGTTTTCTAAAATCATGGAGCTTGTATTGTTGGAACCAATGAAGTAACTAAAAGAATTTTTTAAATAAGCCATCAGTCTGGACTTGTGTAGGTAAAGGAAGGAGAAGCACTTTAAAGTCAGAAAAAAAAAAAAAGTATAGTTAATACTTAGGATTATCAACCACTGCTGGTTTTCCATAACATATTTCATTCCCGATTTCACCTGAAAGAGATATGATTATTACTACCATTCAAAAAGTGGTACTTCATCAATAAGCTCTTGGCACATCTTTGGGGTGGATTTTAGATTCAAAATAGTTTCTTTACCACACTGCTAACTTGTTCACTTGTGTTTGTCAATAACACAGAGGCTTCATTCAAGAAACTTACTGAAGTATAATTACCTGAAACCCAGGAGTGAATCAAGGTTTTGTGGGGCCTAAACTCATCTACTTCAGGAAGTCTGTCTAATACGAACATGCAAAATTATGAAAACAAAAATGGCTAGGGCCCCTCCCAAGACCTTGGAAGAGGCCTATGCAAATGAGGAGCCCTGAAGTTTAAGCTTTATTCAATTCATGATAAATCAACCTCAGCTGGGGCTTTATTACAAACTCATTTAATGCTGGGGAAAAATATTGTTTCAACTTGTAAACACTCCAGTAGTGACTTAACTCAAGGGGTGGCATCTTCCCTTGGCAACTTGCCTTTGGAAAGAGATGCAGTACAGTTGACATCTCACTAAGGCAAATGTTCCCTGAAGCAAATCAGCTTTGTCCATTACAAAGAGTTGGCCCAAAACAAAGAAGGAGCCCAGCCCCCAACACAGACTTACTATATTGTGACAATCTTTTGAAAGTAACTGTGAATTAGTTTTAGGAATACAGCTCTATTCAAATCACATGATATGAGTAACAATTTATTTCCAACACCAGCTAGCTCTGATTCTTTCATTACCTTTTCCTATCATTTCAGATGAACACAGAAACTCAACATAAACAAGTGGGCATCTCCTCCATCACGAATCTTTTGTAATTCACCACCCATTCCCTACCTTGTCACCCCCTCCCTTGTTACCCTGCTGCATAGATGCTAGCATGGCTCTTGTATGTTTTCCCCTTAACATCCATCTTCTTCCTTCCAGTATGAAAGTTTCTTGGGGACAAAGTCTCCGTCCTATTCTTCTTTGTACCCCCAGCACTTAGTATGGTGCTGACACACAGTGGGCATGGCACTCTGTGAATGTTTTTGAACGAATTCATTAATTTTTATCAACTGTGATTCCACAATTTTTTTTCCTGTGTTGCCTACCCAACTATAGTGAAACTCAGATTCTTACAAGGGACTCTCGGTGTTATAAAATGCTTAGTAAAGGTGGTGAGTTTCAGACATTGTATTGATGCTACAAAAACTTCTTGGTGGAGGAGCCTAATGAGCCTACCCTCTGGTGTGCTGGCAAAAAAAACTGAGCCTCAGTGTCCTTTCCCCAAGTTAGGCATCAGCAAATCAGTGACGGGAGAGGGGAGGGCAACACAGATGGGCAGGAACTGTTAATCCAGCTCCAGACACACCCTGAACATCTTCATCTAATCCAAAATGGACTGTGTGAAATCAGATTTCTGAACCACAAGACAGGTAAGACAGTCTTTTCCAAAGTCAGGTTTAGAGGAGGATCTCCACCTTGAGTCTAAAATCCCCTTCGGGCATTGAACATACCCACTGGGATTTTCTTGCATCACAGAGAATCACAGAAGTTTCGAGCTGAAAGGGACTGAAACCCATACTTCTCATCCAAGAGTAGTCAGGAAAGAAAGGATATGGAATTAGGCTACAGCCACGTATTTTCTTTATGAATATTTTTCACACTACAGCTTAACACATCTTTTTTCATACCTCAAAGGTTCCTATAGCCCACAGACAATTCAGTTCAGTGGTATATACTTTTTAAAATATAATGTTCTGGGTGATTGGGGAGAGAAGTGCCCTGTGGCAGGTTTTCAGTAATTCTTTCTGTTTTACCATTTAAAAGAAGCCGCTGGCTGAGGAAGCACCCACATATTTTGCTCCCTGGAGAACTTTGTGCTAAACTTGGTTCTTTGCAGCTCTCTGTTGCATACATGTAAGCAGTTAGGAACTTTGCATGTGAGCAGGAATCAAAGTTAAATTCAAAAGTGGAATTTCAAGGACCATTCACATATTGGAGCAGCATCATTGGGATTCTCACGACAATGCTAATTTGAGTGTTATTTGCTTGGTGCCTTCTATTGCCCATGCCAAAGACTGGTACTAGGGAAGCAGAGCATGCCACACATGAGTTAGAAAAGTCTCTGGGCCTCTTTGTACCTTAGTTTCCTTATTTGAAAAGATCAATGGATCTTACGACACACTTTTCAGAGTTCATACTGGGCTTATACCCAGCTAACCAACAACTGTATGGTGTTTTTACACATAGTTTTTTACACATATTCCTCTTCTATTTCACTTACAACTTGTGTAAAAACTGCATTCCATGCCAGGCCTGAAATGTTCCAAAGCTCAGTTCTGTGAGTAAATTGCAACCAAGATTTCTACAAAAAAAGACACAAGCAAAAGAAGATGAAAAATAGATATTTTTTCAGAACATTTATCCTTTGGCAGTGATTCTAATTTATATATGATGAAACATAACCTCAATACTCCCTCTATATTAGAAATCTCACTGTGGAAGATATTTTTTGCTTATAATTTATACTTTCTTATTTATTCATGTGGTGCATTAGACACAAAACAGTAAATTCTGAATAAATACTTGTGTTAAGTGAACTTTATTTCTCTAGAAAAGGGTTTCACAACTTCAGCATTATTGATACTATGGGCTGGATAATTCTTTGTTATGAGGGGCTGTCCTGTGCATTGTAGGATTTTAAGCAGCATTTCTGGCCTCTGCTTACTAGATTCTGGTAGCATATCTACAGTTCTGACAACCAAAAATGTCTCCAGACATTGACAAATGTCACCTGGGTGCAAAATCACCCTGGTTGAGAACCACTGCTCTAGAATGATTCACTCTGATCTGTGTAATAATTCTCACACTTTGCTAGAGACAAAAAGGATTTGCTACATAATTTTAGTGGCTTTCTACTAATAAAATTTTAGCATTTCAAAATGAATAACATAGAGGCTTATAATTAAGTTTTATAAAAATTCCAAATATAATGAAGTTATATTTGTAACTTACATAAGCTGCAAAAAAGGTAGTGGTTCAAATGTACGTCTTTCAATAGATTGTATTTTATTGCAGGATAAATCTCTAGGAAAAGTAAAAGGAAAATATTGCCTCAATTAGCTATTAGGTATCTAATTAGTAGGAATAACTAGTAGAGGTTAGAAAAATAATATTGAATAAGGAATTACTGTCTAAACTCTGAACCCTAGGAATTGTTATTTGAACCTTTCAGAACCTTTAACCCTGCCCTCATCTCTCTTAAGAGTCTCACCTTCAAGATCTTCATAAATAACATATACAACTATAGTTCTTGACAGATTCTGGAGGTAATCTTTCCTGAGAGCAGAAGAATTGATTAGATGATCTTAGTGGTCTCATCAAATTCTAGATTATAAACTCAAGGTTTTTATCTCCATACATAATTATCATTTCTTATCTTAAAATATTCTCACATTTACACACCTTCTGGTTTAGTTCTGTTTTTCTAGGCCAATTCAATACCAGAATAAAAGATACTCTTTCACATAATTTGAAGTTACTCCTCCAATTAATACATAACTTTGAACTAATTCAGAATTATACTATCATATTAATAGAAATTCATTTTTGGTTTTACATTGCCTTAATATTCCATGAATTTAATTGCTTCAGTGGGACAACAGAAAACTGGATTTTTATTTGAAAACACCCACTCTTGACTACAGCTGATTCTCTTATTTCCATTGATTACAGCTTAGTCCCTCACTTTTCACCTGGATGGGTACAATTGTCTTCTGACTGGTGTTTCCATCTCTAGTCTCTCTCTTTCCAATTCATTCTGCACACAGTCACCAGGTTAACTCTCCAGAAGTGGTTCTCAAATACCGCATCACTTGGGAACTTATTGAAGATGCAAATTTCCAGCCCTGCTCTGATGGACTGATTTAGTAACTATGGGGGTAGAGCTTGTGTTTTAACAAGCCCTCCAAGTGTTTCTTTTGCAGGCTGAAGTTTGTCCTAGAGCACTGCTGTGATGACGTGGTAGCTTGGCATGTCATCCTTGGCATGGCCTTCAAAGCCCTAGGAGATCTGGCTTTAACCTCCTACTCTCCCTACTTGTACTCTAGGTATGCTTCCTGCGTTGTGCCTTTCTCCCTCTCTCCTTTCGCAAGCTTACTCTTCCTCAGATGTCTGTCTGATGATACCCACTGGCCCTTCAAGGTCCTGTTCAAACAACATTGCTCCTGCAACATCTTCCCTGATCCAACTTGAAGTCTTTTTTCCCTCTTCTGTTCTCCAAAAACAATGTATACCTCTCATTGCCCATTTCCATTTCTCCTTTAACAAAGTTATTTTTGCATTCCATTTCCTCTGAGCACAAACTCCTTAAGAATATGGACTAGGTCTTGCTCATGTGCATTGTCTACCATATTTAAAAGTGATGTATGAACATAAAGCAAACAAATATTTATAAAATCAACGAATAGCTGGGGAGTGAGTAGAAGGAGGAAAATGACTGTTTTAAAAGGAATGTAGTTTTATTACTTCATGGCTCCCTCTTCTGCACCTCTGCAACACTTTGTCATCCATTTAGTGCTTGTGCATTATGGTTTGAGCTTATATGTTTATTTTTTCCTGTGAGATCATGAGTTCCTCTAAGGACAGGAACCTGTCTTACCCATCTCTGTGCCTACAAGACTACGCATGGTGCTTGGCATATTCTTTTTTAGCTTTTTTATTGATTGGAACTTTTTTTAAATGAATGAGAATACTTACGCTAACATGAAATAATTAGCTTACAAAGTTCATAGTAGAAGTAATGAAGGGCTTAATCCATTGAGCAGTCATCTCATTTGTTTTTCTCCAAACTGTGTTTGTAAGGTTTGGAGCCCAAATGGCAGAGGTACCCAAGAAGACTAATACAAAAGTGGTTGTCCCCCAAGGCTTGGAAGGTTTGATAATTCAAAGGACTATTTTCAGTGTCACATGAGGCTCTTTATACCTACTTCCCTTAAGCCTTCTACATTTACAAGATGAATCATTTGCTAAAGAGCATCATTAATTAGCTTAATATGAATTAATGACATACACAGCTCTGGATGCCATGGACAACAGATAAAAATTGAGCTTTTATAGCAAATAACATAGAATCTCCTTATCTCTAAGTAAACAGAAATACTATGTAAGCATTTCCTCCTTGACAACAAGGCTGGAGAGATTTTTATTTTGTAATTAGTGAAGTTAGGGGCATTTCTGATATGCTTATTTAGTGTAAACATTTCTAGCTATACCACTTAACCATCATTTTAAACATCTATTTTAAAATTGGTATAACAATTCCTGCATTGAAATCCTTAACACCAGTCTGTTCTCTTGGTATCTTAATAAGTTCTTGATGCTATTGTTTACATAATTTATCTGCTTAAATATTTAATATCTAAATGTTATTTAGATTAAATTTTCAAAAAATTTTGGGTTAATGGCATTCAAATTAATGCAAGTGTTCTATATTTTCTTGTCCTGTAGGTGACAATTTGAGGTTAACTTTAATTTCTCTCATTTTACTAAACCAAGTTTTTCAAACCTTTTCTGTAAAAACCAGATAGTAAATATTTTAGGCTTTGCAGGCCACGTACAGTCTCTGTTGCATATTCTTTGCTTCTTTTTTTTTTTCTTTTATAGCCCTTTAAAAATGTAAAAAGCATTCTTAACTCATGGGCTGTTTAAAAATGGACCATGGGCCGGATTTGGTCCATGGGTCATAAACGAAATGTAAATATAAGCAGATGGCATATGAGCACCTGTAGCCAGCTCCAGTGGTCTAGTGGTTAAGATTTGATGCTCTCACCACCACAGCCCGGGTTCATTTCCCGGTCAGAGAGCCACACCACCCATCTGCCAGTTGTCATACTGGGGTGGCTGCATGTTGCTGTGACGCTGAAAGCTCTGCCACCGGTATTTCAGATACCAGCAGGGTCAGCGGAATCCACTTGATGGCACTAACAATAGCAAATATAAACTCTTATAAAACACGGTTCATATGGGTGTCTATAATTGCTCAGACTTCATTACCACTTTTCCTCTATAACAGAAGGGCTTTCTCCTATCTATATCTTGTCTATATAACCAAAAAATTAAAAATGCATAAGAGATATTTAATGCTAGAGATGGGCTGGGACCCTACACAGACTTACAGAATTGTAAAATTTTATTACTGGAAGAAATTGTAGAGATTACATAATTTGAACCCCTTATTTATTTTATAGATTATATAATTGAAGTCTCATAAATAAATATGATTAACTAATTAACTTACAAATACTGGAGGGATAGCAGGCCTTCAAATGAATCCTTATGTAATTCACTCAAAAAATTGTCACTGAGAATTCTGAAAAATGAAAAGGTTATTTCTGGATCAAAATGCAAAATAACTACAACCATTTACTACATATGACTAAGGCCTATGTGTGGGGGAAACCTGGGTAATGCTGCCACCTAAATACCCTATTTCTTATTTAATTTAGGGATGGTGATCTCTGCTCTGTTTTCATTCGAACCTTTTGTCTCACATCCTCCTTTGTGTCCACCTCTCTCCATCACACACACACACACTCTCTTCCCACCAAACTGTATATTTAATGCCTACTCTCTACATCACAAAGTCTCCGTTAGAGCCCAACTCTGGGTGACACCAACACTGGCTGAACTGCCATTTCCTCCTCACTTTTCCCAAACCTTATTATTGAAACCCCATACAGAACCACATCAAGGCTGCAAGTGAAACCGTTGGATTTTTCCCCCCATTAAAAAAATTTTTTTGAAAACTAAAATGTGCATAAAATGCACATGACATAAATGTTCAGTTTAATAATTATAAAGCAAATACCCAGGTAACACCATTCATGTCAAGAAAGAACAATGCCAGCATTCTGGAAGCCCCCAGTGTGCCCGTTTCCAATCACAACCCTCCCTGACTCCCTAGAGGTAACCACTAGCCTGACTTTAACAATAATTTCCTTGCTTTTTCAGTGTAGTTTTACCTATTATGTGTCAGCCATAAACAACACAGTTTAGTTTTGCCTCTTCTTGAACTTATATAAAAGAAATCATATTATATGTATTATTTTCTATTTGCTTCTTTCACTCAACAATATTTTGCAAATTCATTTTATTGTTGCATGTAGCTGAGGTTGGTTCATTTCAATGTCTAGTGTTGCATGTCCAGCTACATGTGGCTACTGAGCACTTGAAAGTGGCTAGTGTGACTGAGGAGCTGAACTTTTAATTTAGTTAATTTTAATTATTTAAAATTTAAATTTAAAAACAGATACTCCATGCAACTATTGGACAACGTTTAAGCATGTTTCCAACAACTTGGATATTACTGTTTCAACTGTAAATTTTATGAAATCTAAATATAGATCAAGTATTTCTGATAAAAATTTAGAAACCAAACTGAGATTTCAAAAAGTTAGCATGGAAAAAAGAATGTAAACTCTCTCGTTAACAATTTTTATATTGATTACTTGTAGAAATGACAATACCTTGGATATTTTGAAGACAGTATGAAAAAAAGTAGAATATCTTATTAATAATGTATATAATGATTACATGTTAAAATGATAATATTTTGGATGTAAGGGTTAAATAAAATATATTAACATTTATTTCATCTGTTTTTCTTTACTTTCATTTTTTAAGTGGCTACCAGAAAATTTAAGATTACTTATGTGGCTTGCAGTATTCTTCTGGTGAATAGTATTCCGTTATATGATTATACCACACAATTTAGGCATTCTACTGCTGGTGGATACTAAGATTTTTCTAGTTTTAATTATTACAAACAATGCTGCTTGGAACATTCTAGTACTTGTATCCTGATACACATTTGCCTGACTTTCTTTAGGATATACTAGGGGCACAAAATTGTTTTCCTAAGAAGTTGTGCTATTTCAAGTTGGCAGATTGAAACATGCCAAGTATCTATCCCTCCAACCTCTACCAAAATCCCTAAGAAGGATAGAAAAGATACAATTTAAAAGTCACAACCTTAGCTCAAAGCATGGGAGCAGCTCCACAAATGCTCCATCACCAGAAATGCCCTGGAATTACCTACAGGGTGATTAGTTGGGATACTGCAGTCGGAGCAGCCGGCAGCACGTCAACACCGTATCTTTCCTCCTTGGACCAGGCAGCAAAGGGTGTCTACCTCCAGATAGGAGCAATTGGTGTTAGAAAGCGGGCAGGGTCCCAGAACCCTGCAGGAAGGGTATGCACTCCCTGACTAGCCACCAGAAGGCACCTCCCACCGCTTCCTTATTCTCAGGGGAATCCATCTGGAGTAACAAGCCCCAGCAGCTCATTTCACCTCTCCCCTAGTGCCAGAAAACAGAAGCAGTAGAATCTCAACTCAGGACTGACCAAACATGCGAGAAAGCCAACTCCAGTAAGGACAGAAAACAAAAACAAACACAAGAGCTTATAGCCAACGAATCAGAGTGAACAGAGAAAGCACAAGAGGACTTTAGAATAGCATAATTAATACCCTCAGGGAGATGTAAGCAGGTAGTGCAGCCAATGAAAAGAATTAACTCAAGATTATACGAATGAAAAGTGTTATTATTAATAAAAAACTTAGGATATGAGCAGCAGAAATGACAGTTGAAGAATTAGAAAACTAAGAGATCCAGCCAGTGATTTCTCCAGAATGCAGGAGGAAGGGAACAGGAGTGATCCACAGACAAGCCTGACACGTGGGTTTGCCCAAGGACCGTTAAGGCCTTCGCTTCACCTAGTCTCACAGTATAGACTGGGAACATGCTGGGAGGGGGAGGTCTGTACCCCTTTCTGTTTCTCAGACCTGCTGCGCGGGAAGGCATATAGCCAGTGTCTGTGGAGTGACGAGTGGTGGAGCCAGTACAGAAGAAACTCTATAAGGTGTCAAAGGCAAGTTTCTCCTACCTGGGAGAACCCCCTTCCTTGCAGGTAATATTAACAGGTGTACATCCTTCAGGAGCCTTGGGGATCTGAGAACATACTATTTGCCTTGTGAAACTATTCCGTCAAGTTCTGCATTTAAAACATTCTGCTTTCCCTCACAGTATCTGTTGGCCACATATTTATGTTAATTCCATTTCACAGCTTAATTCCTTACTCATAGCTTATGACAATTAAAATATTACTACCTGGACACTCTGCAACTGAAATCAAGGGCAGTTCTCAGTTTTAAGGTTCATATTACACAGAATATAGTTACACACATTTTAAAAAGATCATTAAAATAAAAACACAAAAAAACTTTAATTCCCACAAAAAACTCTTGGACCCCTGAGAATGCATCAAAGACCTTGACCTCAATTTGAAATTCACCATGTTGGAAGAAACAGCAGTGATGGTCAGAACATGTGTGAAGGGGGAATGGTCAACAGGTGTTGCTATGATTGACTGTTTTCTCACCTCTGTTAGGTAATGGTTTCATATTTCCATGGAAATGATCCAAAAAGAAAAAACAAATCAATATGTCCAACCATGTTTATACTACCCTTTTCATAACTATAAAAAGTTGGAAAAAAAACTCCACTCCACCTCCCCCCATCACATAACAAAACTGTATGTGTATTCTATAGATGATATACAAAAAGGTCATATGAAACGATGGTATATGAAAAAAATCAACACAAAAATGAAACTTGTATATCCTAATTATAACTTAAAAAATATAAATACCAACAAGGATTCATTAAGGACAGAGGAGAGATGAGGGCTGATCCTCAACTGTTTATGGCGGTGTCTTCTCTGATTGGCTGATGCCCATGGCAGACTGTTTGGTTAAAGAGTTTGAATATAGGATATGACCTAAACTAAAGAGTATGTATTTTAAATTAATGGGGTTTCTTTTTGTAAAGGCATTTGGATCACAGGATAGTAAAATTTTTTAAAAATAACAATAACAAATTCAACCTAGAAAGAAAGTTTACACTGAGAATGAGTCAGTCATCAAAAAATTACCCAAAAAAGGAGTTTCAAATAAACAAGTAACTGGAATAAAATACACCGATCTGTAGAACTCCCAATATTCTTTTTGACTGAAGCAAAAATTTTAAAAGTATAATCAGAGTTAAACCCAGATCTAAAACTTTCTCACACCGTGAAAACATCAAAACCAGGCAAGAACTAACATTTAAGAAATACCAATGTCTAACTTCTGACCAGGCTTCCTTTCACTAAGGCAATCTTCCGAATTTCATAATATTCATTCTTGATTCTATATTATTGGCAATTATCCTTCTTCCCACCTCTGTTAACCTCTAAGAAACTGAGAGGGCTCAGAGGGTTTTTTTTTGGACTTAACTATACATATAATGCAAACGGTGGGACATTCTGGAATTGATTTACTCTCCTTCCCCTGCTTTCTTTCTCTCCAAAGCACTTAGCAATACTTGAAATTATATCTATTTATTATATTTATTTTTATGTTATATACTTGTAAACCCCTTGAGAACTGGGATATTTGGTTTATTTTGTTCTTGGGCCTGTATCCCTCACACGTACAACAGTTCCTGGCACATAGTAGATGCCCCAGTAATATTCGTTAAATGAATACAGAAAGTGACAGGAATCAATTTTCAGACAAACTACTTTTATTTAAAACAAATCATCCATTTACTATCACTCATGAGGATAAGTAAAGCTTTACAGGAAGAGAAAAGTCTTCCTTCTCCCCTACATTTATTTGTGACTCAATCTTTTGCGACAAGAACCCTTTGAGAATTTCATAAAAGCTATGAACCCTTTCCCTTGAAAACTGCACTTTTTTGAATACATGCAAAAGTGTGCGTGCAATTTCCATTTGTGTATCATCCCTTTAGGGCAGAGGTCTGTGAACAGAATGGATTGAATTCAGAGGGACAAACTTGGGTGGGAAATAAAATTACATCTCTATTTTCATAATCCTCTAACTAAAATGAGCATTTCCTTCCATTATGAATGTAGGCAACAAACCACAGTAGATTAGCAGTACAGTTAATTTGGTCCCCAACAGAAATCACAGATATTTTCATGACATGTATTTGTTGTAGATATCTCAAAATATCATTTATTCTCATCACTACCTTGAAGTTATAATAGTTATTAGACCTACCACTATATCTTGTTATTTAATATGTTAAGGGAAGGAGATTTATTACTATATCACTAATCTTTTAAGAAAACATTTAAAAAAAATATATATATATATGTATATATTTTTGCTGAGGAAGATTCACCCTAACACTTATTGCCAATCTTCCTCTTTTTGTACGTGAGCTGCCACCACAGCACGGCCACTGACAGATGAGTGGTATAGGTCTGTGCCCAGGAACCAAACCTGGGCCACCGAAGCACAGTGTGCCAAACATGACCATTAGGCCACTGGGGCTGGCCTGAAAATATTTTTAAAAATATTTTAAAATTATATTGAAAGTATTTCAATATAATTGGTTTCCTTTGTTTTCTTATATATTTTAACTCATTACACATTTAAAAACATTATCCCAAGAACATAGGCTTCTGTAGATCACCAAAGAGATATATGGGTTAAGAAACCCCATATGATCCCATTTTCTTAACCTTAAGAAAAAAGGTTAAGAAATCCTGCCCTGGGGACCACGAGATATAAATCTCAAGCTGACTTAGAAATCTTCAAACTTTACCAGACTCATGTTAGAGTGTATAAACTTCCAAACACATGCTTCTTAAAGATTAATTTTTAAATTTCAATTTATTTTTAAAAATATGTACTATACATTCACATGGTTCAAAATTCCAAAGGTATATACACAATCCAAAGTTCTGCTCCTCCCCTGTCCCTCAGCCTACCCCCGTCTCCACTCCTTAGAGGAAACTAATGTTACTTATTTCTTATGCCAAATGACTTGCATTTTTCTTACAAGTTTGGGAAATAAAATCTCCAAATCAGATACTATCATAGGAAACAGAAACTGTATTTAGTATTTAAGAAATTCATAAATTAAAAATACTGCCTGGTTCTAGCATTTTTTCCTTACCAATAAGATATCGGACTAGAGACTTGAATGTAAGACCTGAAACTATGAAACTTCTAGAAGAAAACATAGGCAGTACGCTCTTCGACATCGGTCTTAGCAACATATTTTCAAGCACCATGTCTGACTGGGCAAGAGAAACAACAGAAAAAATAAACAAATGGGACTACATCAAACTAAAAAGCTTCTGCAGAGCAAAGGAAACCAT